AGCATCTTTGGAGGTTGCCAATCTATTATTGTGAATTTTGGGCCAGAATAAACAATTTGCTCTCCCTTTCCCATATCTCCCTCTGCCCGTCACCACCCCTATGGCGGCACCCCCACCCATGGACCCACTCCCCCCGGGAACATACCCTCCATTTCCATCTATTGTTGTTCCATATGTTAGTGTTTGATGATAAGTGTAGTCACATATAATTTGGTCTTGATGTTCCCACCCCTTGAAATTACCTGCTCCTTCCAGTGTATTAAAGAAGGTAAAGTGCACTAGTATCGATAGCAGCAGGATTGGTGTCAATGGTAACATAGGAGTGGGGTATTTGTAAACAACAATATCTAATTGTCAACCTGCTACAAATGAGGCTAAGTGCTAGTGCAGGCCTCGAAACAGTTGTTTAAAGTGCTGCTGTAACAATTCTTTAAAGTGCTACTATAACAGGTTGTTTAAAGTGCTACTATAACAGGTTGTTTAAAGTGCTACTATAACAGTTGTTTAAAGTGCTACTATAACTACAATTTAATCACCATGGGACGCTTTGGGACCAGTTAATAGCATGGCCCCTGGTAGACTAGGAGGTAGATCTAATAAAGTGCTCTAGGCTAAAGTGACGTAGTGTTAACCAAGTTCAAATATTAGTGTCTTCTTATATGACACCACATCCCAATCAAAGGGGGTCAATTTAAACACAAGGAGTCCGGCTTCCTGGACCCGTGAAGTACAAGCCGGCATCCGCTGGCCAGATCCCCTAGAGTTCTCTTGACCGTCCAAGGAGGGAAATGGCAGTTCCACAGAAGGATGTAAATTCGTGCACTGAAGACAGTAGCTATTACAGTCACAATTTGCCAATGAGCTTCTCCAATTAGAGGTTGATGTATTTACAAAACTCAACTCCACCAAAGGGGGCAGTGTAGGAAGTATTTGGCTCACTCGGATCCGAACGCCACACACTCTCTAGTTCCCCCTTCCTTCGCTTCATCGCTGCCAGCTCCTCGGTGAACCAGGGAGCTGGTTTAGCTCGGCTACTTGAGAGGGGACGTTCCGGAGCGATCGTGTCAATTGCCCTAGTCATCTCCCCATTCCAGAGAGTGACCAGGGCCTCGACAGGATCACCTACCGAGGCGGCGGGAAACTCCCCAAGAGCCATCAGGAATCCATCCGGATCCATAAGCCTCCTGGGGCGGACCAACTTGATGGATCCTCCACCTCTGCAGAGGTCAGGGGGCGCAGTGAGCCTAAATCTGACCAGGAAGTGGTCGGTCCATGGCAACAGAGAGATGGTCAGCTCCTCCCTCCCCTCTGCAGCGGTAGGGGGGCCCAGTGACCCCCTTGCAGGCCGTGGGGTCCATGCCCCGGCGAGATGGTCCGTCCTCTCCACCTCCCCCCTTCTCCCTTGCCCGCCCCCGTCCCCTGTTGCCTGCCCTCTGAGGGTGCCGCTCTGCGGCCCCCCTGGTTGCCTGGCCGCCTGCCGTCTGCGCGCCTGCCCGGGGCCTCTCGGCTGGCCTGCGGTCCCCCGCCCCCCTGCGCGCGTGCTTCCCCCTGCCACGCTGCGCCCCTCCGTCGCGGTCAGGCGGCGTCGTGCGCGCGGTGGCGGGTCCCTCACCGCTCCCTTCTGTAAGGTCCCCCCCCTCCCCGTGCCCTTCCCCTGTGGCCGGGGGGGGCTGGTCCGCGGGCTGCCTCTCTCTCCCCCCTGGCTCGCTGGCCTCCCCCTGCCGTTCCCCGCCGCTGTGTCCCTGCCTATATCCTCCCTCCCGCCTACTTCTTTTATAGTCTTTTAATAATATTATTACTATTACCTTTGCCTTCTCTTGGTTTCTTTTTCATGCCCAAGTCTGGAGATGCACTGGAAATAGCTGATGGCACTTGGGTCTTTGGTTTACGGCCTGCTACAAATAAAGATTTGAAAAATTGAAAAATGGGTAAAGAAATACTACTTTACAACTGAAGTTGTTCTTCAGCTTAGGCTTTCATCCAACTCCAAAAACAAACAGGCATTCTCTGATGTATAACTAAAAGGGTGTGATATTATAAATACCTTGTATAAAGTCAGCCTTTCATCTAGCTATTTAATCCTCGGGAAAATAATGCAACTGGCTAGTTACATTGACTATTACATTATAATCACTTCCACTGTGAAAACTCACTATGTGTATACTACCCGCATGGACCATATAATTATTTCTATGAAATCCCTTTCATAGAACTAAGTGTGCAAAAAAAGCAATCCACAATTGATTTCATCCATTCTATAGTGAAGTCTGTATTATTACATTTAGAAGTTTATACAACAACTGTCTTCACTTTTTATTAAATCAAAACAGTAAACTATGTCATACTTATAACTAATGATACAGTGTAGTACTTTATCATTGACGTGTGTGTGTATGTTTGTATGTGCATGTGTAGATAGATAGGCAGAGAGAGAAACATACAAATATATGAAAGTGGGTCAAAAAGTAATTCCTCAATCATGCTAACTTTTATTTCTTTCACAGCTACTGGATTATCTATGCATGATATGATAGAGGAAGCCTTACTCTACTGATACAATCTTTTTTTTCCCGGTTCACTGATTAGAACAATGAATCTGAAGCCAAATCATGGGTCACGAAGCAAAACCCTCAATTTTTCCAAAATGGTTTTGATGCCTGGATTAAAAGATGGCACAAATATGTACAAATTGATCATGAATATACTGAATTTTAGTTTTGCGTAGAGGACAGTTCAGGCTATGATCTGTAGAAACCTCTGCTGTTATATGTTCATTCATAACATTTTTATGATGAAGGAGGTAGAACTTTTTGACCCACCCACATACCTAGTTTTTTCAAAGATGTGCCCTGAAAATTATATGTTGTCATTTTATTGCTCTTGAGTGTCTATCTACACTACCTTTCTTTTTTTTCATTGGCTCGTGAATTTCTGGAGAAGTAGATATAGGCGATGTGTCCATTGGTTCAGACTCCTCTGTAGATATCTCCACTTCTGTTTCCGCAATCACATCAGGTCTCATTGCAGCATGAATGAATTCTGGGGTTGACATACAAGGTGGGACAAGAACTTCCACTAAAAAAAGGAAACAAATAAAGCAAGATTTTTTTAAAAAAAAATCAGTTGTGGCAAAAAAATATCTGGAAATATTACAAAGGGGGTTCAAAACAAACATAAAAGTGTATGTTTTCTAAACAGTTATATTTTATATGCATTCCATCCCTTTTGGATTATCAAATCTATCATAGTACAGGAAAACCGATAAGACTGTATTTGGGTCTGAAGAAAGGTTTGCTTCCAGAAATTGAATATCTGTATACATCCAACTGGAGCTTGTAATTTTGCACATGACATTCAATACACTTTTTATAACTTTTCTAAATTGAGTATACTAATAAGACACCATTTAAGAATGAAAAATTGTTTCATTACATGGTTTCAGAGTCAGTTAACCAATCCAAAGTAGATTCACATTTCCAGGAGCTGGATTCTACTCTAAAACATGACACACACTCTCTCCTGGGACCTTGGTTTAAAGCAAAGTGCTTTTCTAAATGTTCTGTGTTGCAGAATTTGGCAGCAAATATGGCATGGTGGAAAAATAAGGGAGATATACACATGGCCACATTTGATTCCCACAAGTTTTACACTGTGTAATTTCTTTGTATTTTGGAATGATACACAATTACAAAAGTGGAAAGTTGAAACCATGATATCTGAAATACTTGGTGTTATCCATAGCCTTCAACAGGTTTTGCACACCAAGCGATTCAAAAGACTGGAGAGAAACAATGTTAATTACAAATCATTTTGTGAAACAAATTTACAAACTAACAGTATTAGAAAAATAAAACTGTTGATACAGAAAAAAAATACATCACAACCTTGCAGGTGATTTTATACTGAACTACTGGAGGTATTTATTCAATTCTAAGGCACCATCCATTGTAAGACACACAATAATTTCAGTACCACCAACAGAAGAAAAAAAACTTTATTTATATATATAAACACACCCACGATTCTGTTTTAGAGATGTTTATATGGTGGAAAATGTGCATCTTAAGAGTTAAAGAAATACAGCATATTTTTTTCACTTGTGGGTAATACAGTGGCAACATGCAAGTTAAATTTGCATGAATATGTCTTGAGCAGCCTTTCTACACTTGTTTGCTCAAAGAGCAACTGTTATTCATACAGTAACTGTCTATTTGGAACAATGCTTAGAAAGCTATAGTGCCTGGAAAACGCTTATTCCTAAATAAAATGTATTGTTAAGGCTCTAGTCCAGATAAAACATATACACCGTCCCTGAAGATCCTTACAATTTATTTTAAGTATCGACATACCGGGAGTTCGAACATCTCTTAAGCAGGTTGGAGACTCCATATGAAGTAAGGCTTCTGCTGCCTCAATGGTCTTATCTGAACAGTGCACATTGCTGCCATGGACAGATGCCTCCACTGTACAAAAAAATGTAAACATAAATTAATCTATCACACAATCCCATTTCCTTGACCCATGCAAACCAATACTTTTAACATGGCTCAAAACATGCAAGTCAAAAACTGGAACAACACGTACCACCAGGAGAAATGTCTTTAACGGGAAAATTAATAGGTATATATCAGGAGACACAAAAAGTCAATGTTTCCCCCTTTTAAACACATCTGTTTATCTAATCAAGCACTACCAAAAGTGTAGTCAAGAGATCAGTGTTGGTTTGCAACATATTTATTTATTTATCGTGTCAGGAGCAACCAGACATATGTATTACATTTTTAACAAAACAAACAAACAAACAGACAAAACACAAAGTTTGCAAGCTTGGTGGTTGATTAAATGTCCTTTGACCAGTATCTAGCCACTTGGAGTGCTTCTGGTGTTGCCGCAAGGAGGTCCTCCATTGTGCATGTAGCAGGGCTCAGGTTGCATTGCAGCAGGTGGTCAGTGGTTTGCTCTTCTCCACACTCGCATGTCGTGGATTCCATTTTGTAGCCCCATTTCTTAAGGTTGGCTCTGCATCTCGAGGTGCCAGAACGCAGTCTGTTCAGCGCCTTCCAAGTTGCCCAGTTTTCTGTGTGTCCAGGGGGGGAGTCTCTCATTTGGTATCAGCCATTGGTTGAGGTTCTGGGTTTGAGCCTGCCACTTTTGGACTCTCGCTTGCTGGGGTGTTCCAGCAATTGTCTCTGTAGATCTTAGAAAACTATTTCTTGATTTAAGTCGTTGACATGCTGGCTAATACCCAAACAAGGGATGAGCTGGAGATGTCACTGCCTTGGTCCTTTCACTATTGGTTGCTACTTCCCGGCGGATGTCAGGTGGTGCAATAAGGTTTGCAACAAGTACTCAGGAAAGAAAGACACACTTGTAGACATTGGACTCAAGTACAGTAATGGTCCGAGGGGCATGACACTATTTTAAAACAGACATTAGTATCAATGTGTGTGTAGAAACAAGCACCAAAGAGGTAAGAGGGTTACTGCCCCCCTTCCTCATATGCTGTTACATATGCTGGACTAACAACCATCAGGGTTCCTGCTAACTGGGGAAAAGGAGATAAGTGTTCTAAGGTTTGAGGAGTTGCCAAGGGGACACCTGTGGGGGAATTCCATCAGTTAACATATCCTTCTTCTCATTAATCATAAACTGTCTTCTTTTGCAGCAAACAAAATGTTTGGTCATGCAACAACCTAATAGTGAATATAGATCCTAGATACAGTTCTTCATTCCATTCTAGCCATTACCAGTAAAACAAATCTGATAGAAACAGATGATTCTCTTATGATGATGGAAGAGCATTAAATTTAAAAATACAACAGTCTTAGCAAATGATCAAACAGTGTGGGGCATAATGGTGCCAAACTACAAAATGAGGCAAGATAGTCCAAGATTACAGTACACCCTACTGGGAAAATTAGTTATGTAATTCACGCCAAAAGCATTCATAGGAATGGTTTTGGGTTGGAAAGATTAGCCGTATACAAAAAACATTGCCCAGGGAATGCCCAACTGCATTTACTCAGTCTTTGACCCTGACCCCCCCTCCCCCTCCCCCTCCCGCTCCCCACCACACACATACACACAAATATGGCTTTAAAACTGCATGAAATATTACATCTCAAAAGTGTAGTTTGGCCCATCCTGTAGCCATATATGATATGGCTTAAAGAGTCATTAGAAGTATTCTTGAATTTCTGACCATGTATTCAATAACAATTTCAAATGGCCCATGTGAAACATAATCTGTGGAAGCTTAATACCTAACCCATACCTGGTAACAAATATGCATATTAGTAATTAACCAGACTACGTTGGGTTTTAAACCTTAAGTTCTTGATTCTAAACACATCACTTTTAGTAATTCTTAATAAAAGACATCATTTAATAACATAAATTACCATGTGTGTATGTGTGACTCCTCATGCATCTTCAAGTCACTTGTCGACCCTCATTGATTTCATATGGTTTTCTTAGGCAAGGAACAGGAAAAGTGCTTCTTGCCCCTTCCTATGAAATACACCTAATATTTGTTGGCAGTCTCCCACCCAGGTACTAAGAAGGGCTGATCTTGCAAGATTTAAAAGGATCTGGTGCTTTTAGGACAGGGGTCCTCAAACTTTTTAAGCAGAAGGCCAGTTCATGGTCCCTTCGACTGTTGTGGGCTGGACTACAGGTTTGGTTTTTTTTTTTTTTTTGGGGGGGGGGGGGGATGAATGAATTCCTATCCACACTGCATGTATATTATTTCTAGTGAAAAAACTTGAAAGAGCAATGGAATATTTAAAATGAAGAACAATTGTGACCAACATAAACTTATCAGATAGTTAATTAGGATTGTTGTTGTTCTGTGCCTTCAAATCTTTTTACTCAGGGCAACCCTAGGTCTAAAGCTTAAGATGGGAAAATGGCCTTGAGAGGCCACATTCGGTCCACGGGCCTTAGTTTGGGACCTCTGCTTTAGAGTAAATATGACTAGTCCAAGATTGAATGAGAACAGCAGAATATGTCAAAGGAAGAGAGAAACAACAGAGAAAAGGAGCTTATATTCAGAGTGAAAGGAAAACCATAATTTCAGGGGAAGCACCACTGCACAATTATTTTAGCTTTGATATATGGTTTTATTGCTAATTCTTTTAATACGCACAGCTTAACAAGTAGTCAAGTAATAGTTTTTTAAAACTAAGCTAAAACAGGTGACAAACACCTCAAAACTCCTGTATGACTTTTCCCCATCTTCGTTTCCTTATTTCCCTCTCTCTTTCATCTTCTGCTACCTATACTTTATTCATCTACTTTTATGACACTTTGGTTATCCTTTCAATGTGGTGCCTGAATTTCTAAGATGGGATTTTTTTTCTAAGTGAAAATAATTCTAAATTCTGAAAAATACACTTTGCTTGAGATTTTGAAATATACAAATGCAATTAGCTTTTTGGCCAATTTAAAAGGGATACCAACTGTTTACTTATGCAACATTAATATGCTAATATTTCTACCGGTTACAAATTGACTCCAGAAATGTGAATAAATTCTACTGCACAGCCAATTATTACCCTGCTGTTAGCTATTGACAGACTGTTCATCAGTAATTTCCAGGCTAAATACTCTAATACTATTTTTTCCATCATTTATCTCTAGTGTTATGCTTAATACATGTGTTTTACTTCTTTTGTTAAAAATATGGACTGCTTGACAATAGGGTTTTTTTTTTAATTTCCTATCCCAATTAATAGTAGGCCCTGTTACATTTGTAGTAGGATCTTATCCAGGAAACACATTAAGAAAAACATTAGTTTTGGAAACAGACATTAAGATTTTAAGAACAGCTTATCCCTGAATTCATATACGTGTGTGTGTGTGTTTATTTATACAGACTGGCCATTTCTCTCTTATTTGAGCTGTGGACATTTTTAAAAAACTTAACATTTAACTAGCTGCTCATTCTATCCAAATCCATTCTCTTGTTCTCTTCCTTCCGCTGTCTGTCAGTCATTCCTTCCTTCCTTCTCTCTCTCCAATAGCTCTTGCCATTTATGGAAATCCACTCAAAGCTAAACCATTCCAACTAAGCTGCCAACATCTACATCTATCTTTAGAATAAGCAGGGTCACCTATCTGCAGTGCCAGGAAGTTAATGAAGATTCAACTGGTGATTCTTTGCAGGATCTTATAAAGATATATCTTGTTACTTCAATACTCTAAATTAAACATAATAAAAATAATAACCTTTTTAAAAAGCTTCTAATGCATAGATCTGATTCATATGTGAGGTTGGCCATCTGACATGTAATAATGTGAAGATCTGTTCACAACAATTCAGTATAGGTAGCAGTATGTTTAAACCTACACATTTCAAAAGCCAAACACCAAAACGGATGAAATGATCCCATCCATTTTGTCATTCGCAAATGGGGCAGTAAAAGGGTGTATCAGCTCAGTCCTATTTTCTTCCAAACATTTTGGTTTAAGACCCAAACTATCACCTTGTCCTAGAAAGCAAGTGGGGCCCAGGACACATCTTTCAGTATCAGAGTAATATGATCTCTATAATGTACATTAGTGAGCAGTCAGATTTTACACTAACTGAACATCCACACACTCTTCAATGTCCTGAACATAGTATGTGACAGTAGTCAAGACAGTGTAAGTAAGGCAATGAAAACTGTGCCTTAAAAAAGCACTACATTAGCAGCTCTGGGAATTACATGGATTATAAAACAGATTATTTTTCCTGCATATAAAAGTGTAGCATCTAAAAATAACACAAATACCAGGAAGATAAACTTGCTTCTATAGGAACAATAAAAAGAATAAAAGAAAATTCAGTTCCATTGAGAATACAAGGTTGGATCTTCTCAGATGTCACTTATTTATTTATTTCATATCAAAATCATTGCAGACATGAGTATAAAACTGATAAAAATAGAAGGAGCACAAGTGGCTAGATACTTTTTGACCAAAACCGGGCAATGGTGAATGTATTGTCTGTAACTTTAAACAATTCTTCCTCTGTACATGCGGCAGAGTATTGTGGCCAAGCATACAGGTGCTGAGTTGTTTGTTCTGCTCCCCAGTTGGACAAGGTGTGGGATTCTTTTAGGTAGTGCCATTTTGCCAAGTTGTTTTTTGATCTGCCCACTCCACTTCTGAGTCTGCTCAGGGACTTCCAAGTTGACCATTCTTGGTTTGCCCCTGGAGGAAGACCCTTGTGGGAGACCATCCTATTGGGATTTTCTGGTTTATCTAACCAGCGGGATGCTCTTTCTGTGGCTGGGAAAACATTAAGAGTCGTGGTTCTCATGAAGCTTTTCCTTGATTTGAGTCTACTGGAAGGAGGGTGATAGCCATACAGCAGATGGCATTCACAGTGTTCAACCTTGTTTCTCTTAGCAGCAACTACCTATCTCACATCGGGCGCGGGGAATGCCAGCTAGCTAGTAGAGTCTATCAACAGGTGTAG